CAGTATTGGGCAGCGCCACTCATCCTGTGAGTGGACACACCGCCATAGTGACAGTATTGGGCAGCGCCACTCATCCTGTGAGTGGACACACCGCCATAGTGACAGTATTGGGCAGCGCCACTCATCCTGTGAGTGGACACACCGCCATAGCAGCATGTACAACACTCCCCAATAGGAAGAAAACCCGCTGGGTTGTTCATCCTGTCACTTGTACCCAGACACAGCTGGGACTTGCTTAACTGTCTCAAGTGAACAGCTCTAAGATGGGTGGTTGGAGGGCTGTATTAGAGGGTGGCTAGATGGTTACAGGAGAGGGTTGTTGGATGGTTATTAAAGTGGGTGGTTATAGATAGAGGAGAAGGTGGGTGGTTGTGGTAGGGGAGGGCGGTTGTGAGGGAGCCATCAGGCTAAGTTATGTAAATATTGTCCACTGATGTTGGCCCGCACCAGCGTCTAGTAATTACTGCCACCATTAACTCTATGGATAAGATTGGATAAGTTTAGATTTAGGAAAGACTTGGGTAAATACTGGTTCAGTAACAGGGTTGTTGATTCGTGGAACCAATTACCGCGTAACGTGCTGGAGGTGGGGTCCCTCGATTGTTTCAAGCGCGGGTTGGACAAGTATATGAGTGGGATTGGGTGGTTATAGATAGGAGCTGCCTCGTATCGGCCAATAGGCATTCTGCAGTTGCCTTTGTTCTTATGTTCTTATATGCTACCACTAGTAGCATAGAGTTAATGGCTCTATGCTGCCATCCTCCTCTACCTGATCCCATGCCGCCTACTCCCTCCTACCGCCTATCCTAGTTGTGCAGTTAGTCAAAAATGCAGGTCCAGTTTGTGAGATATCATGTGAGCAGAATGTGTGTGTTGGGTTCGTCCTGTCCATACCGGGCCATCGGGAATCGAACGCCGACCTGCAAAGACACAAATGAGAGTGAAAGTGTGTGAGAATGAGAACGAGAGAGAGCAATCCTCGCCTAGCTCATAATATATATATATATGTACCAGAGAGCCTGAGTTGCCTGACTCGTGCAAGAGGGGCAGCTCAAGGCTCTGCAATATTGCACACATCTTATATTTACTATGATTTGTGGACCTGTGTCTCCCCCCCCCCAGTACCAATTACCTGTAACACAAGGTCATCTTTGTACCTTGTACCTGCGTGTGTAAGGTCAGTAATTTCTGCAACTTCTGCAACCAAGACTGTTTTGTATACACAATAATATTGGTTCACTCCTTGTCTGCTCAGTGTATATATATATATATATATATATATATATATATATATATATATATATATATATATATATATATATATTATTTCTCACACACATGTCTGGCTATACCTATTATTCTTCCTATTTGTGTTGGTACCTATTATTCGTCTTGTGTTCTACTGTGTCGCCAGAGAATGTTTGACACTTGTCCTGAACGATGCGTCCCTTTGGCGCCAAGAATGCCGGCGGGTGTTTGGGTGGGGAACCTTTTGTTTGGTGAGCGAGACATGTGCTGCAGATAACCTGGGTTAATAGCTCGTGTGATGGTGCTGGTGAGGAGAGAGAAAACACTCCCAGAGATGCTGACGATACGGCAGATGAGAGAGAGAGAGAGAGAGAGACAGACAGACAGACAGACAGACAGACAGACAGACAGACAGACACACACACACACACACACACACACACACACACACACACACACACACACACACACACACACACACACACACACACACAGTAGAGCCCAATAGACTCAAGAATCTGTTGTATCCTGATCAGGGAGGATTGACTGGGCGCCAATCCTTAACTGTAGCCTCTGTTCCCCCAGCAGTGAATGGGTACCTGGTTGTTAAACGATTTGGCGGGTCGTATTCCGGGGGAAAGTTAGGATTAAGGACCTGCCCGAAACACTACACGTGCTGATGGCTGTACAAGAATGTAACTACTCTTGTACAGATAAAATAAAATATAATATGTACCGGACCAACCGGGCTGTAGTGGATATGTATTGAGCGATGGACAGCTGCAAGCAACAGCCTGTTGGACCAAGTTATCACAAGTCGAACATGGCCTCAGGCCGGGCTCGGGGAGTAGAAAAACTCCCAGAATCCTCTCCAGGTAAACTCCAGGTAAGCTCACAATGTGTCATCATGTACAATAAAGTTTACAATTAAAAATAGAGAGGGGTAGACGCAGATATACACGTTTATTGTGGTTAGCAATTGGTATGACTAGGGTGTGGATCACCTAATTCCTCCAGGCTTCAGTGGAAGGTTGATAGTTTCAGTTGGGTAGCAGTTAGGTGCTTTTGGAATCCTTCCTTAGTGCTGCTCATCTGTTGATAGAGCTAACGTCTTCCACTCTGGGGGGGGAGGGGGTTGGAGGTTCCTAGTGCCCAAGTGAATGTAATTACCCATGTTTATTGTGGTTAGTAATTGCTATGACTGGTTGACCAGACCACACACTAGAAATTGAAGGGACGACGACGTTTCGGTCCGTCCTGGACCATTCTCAAGTCGATTGTGAATCGTAGACAATCGACTTGAGAATGGTCCAGGACGGACCGAAACGTCGTCGTCCCTTCAATTTCTAGTGTGTGGTCTGGTCAACATACTTCAGCCACGTTATTGTGACTCATCGCCTGCTATGACTGGTGTGTAGAGCACCTAGTTACTCCGTGCTCAAGTGGCGCCTCAAGGAAGTCTGTAAAACACTTTTTGAGTAAAAGTTTAGTAGAACTTCGGTTTCAACTCCTTTTGACCATGTCGTAGCTCAGTCGGTTAAGGCAGCGTCTGGGATGCTCTCGGACGCAGGTTCGAATCCTCGTCACGGCCCTTGTGGATTTGTTCACTTTTTGAGTCAAACTTTGAACGTAATTAGTTCTGGTTATGTTAGATGTAGTGTTGTTATAATTGGATTACTAGATCACTGCTGACAGGTAATTACTTTACCTGTCAGTAATTACTTTACCTGTCCCGTTGGCCTCATATATTGTAGTAGAAAGAGCCTGTCTGCAGTGGCCCAAATTTGTACCCAAGACACAGACCCAAGACACAGACCCAAGACACACAGCTTCGTATATTAGTAGACATCTTGTTTTCACTGCTTAATTCCTTGTGATTTAACTCTCCAAATATCAGTACCTGGTTGATGGGGTTCTGGGAGTTGTTCTACTCCCCAAGCCCGGCCCGAGGCCAGGCTCGACTTGTGAGAGTTTGGTCCACCAGGCTGTTGTTGCTTGGAGTGGCCCGCGGTAGTTTTCCTCCTTGTGTTCCTTGTGGCTTGTACTTTTTTTTTGTCCATAATCTGTAGGCTTAGGCCTCCTGACAGTATGCTTATTCTCTTGGCATGTTTTATATATTGGACCAAGTTATCACAAGTCGACCCTGGCCCCTGACCTGGCAAGGGGAGTAGAAGAACTCTTGAAACCCTCTTCAGGTATGTTCCAGGTAACTGCTATTACCAGTTATCAAATAACCCGCAGTTTGTTTCCCTGTAGGCCGTGAAGGCCACACTCTCTCTCTCTCTCTCTCTCTCTCTCTCTCTCTCTCTCTCTCTCTCTCTCTCTCTCTCTCTCTCTCTCTCTCTCTCTCTCTCTCTCTCTCTCTCTCTCTCTCTCTCTCTCTCTCCTCTCTCTCTCTCTCTCTCTCTCTCTCTCTCTCTCTCTCTCTCTCTCTCTCTCTCTCTCTCTCTCTCTCTCTCTCTCTCTCTCTCTCTCTCTCTCTCTCTCTTTATGAGTGTGTTATCTTCCACACTATCTGCTAGTTTCTTGGGGACACTAGTGCGTGTTGAGCGTAATAGCTTTGTCTCTACCATTGCAATAACCTCAGGTTTTGTTCAGGATTTGTTTCATGTACTCTTTTCTTTCAAGTATACTCTTCTTCTCTCTCCTTGTACTCTTTTGTACTCTACAAATGTACTCTCTTCGTGTACTCACTTGAACACTGTGAGAGGTCTGGAAGATATTCTACACATTAGGTGAATAACTGGGCAACCTCTTGCAATGTTCAAGAGCGAGAACTTGATAAACACCTCCGAAAGATACCTGATGAACCAGCCTGTGATTCATGCGTCAGGCTGCGAGCAGCCGCGTCCAACAGCCTGGTTGACCAGTCCAGCAACCTGGAGGCTTGATTGGGGGAGTTCTGCTGTGTAAGTTTTGATGGTTTCTGCTGTGTTAATATCATAGACATCAACCAGTATCCTGGTGATATAAGGTTGGCTTGGCTTCTTGCAGGGTCGAAGTTCAATTCCCCGATGTCCCATGCGTTTTGGGCGCTGAACCTGTAGTTTAAATATTGCCGAGTTCGAGAGTTGATGCACTCACCAAGCTCCTTGTCCTCGTATCCCAGCTCCTTGTCCTCGTATCCCAGCTCCTTGTCCTCGTATCCCAGCTCCTTGTCCTCGTATCCCAGCTCCTTGTCCTCGTATCCCAGCTCCTTGTCCTCGTATCCCAGCTCCTTGTCCTCGTATCCCAGCTCCTTGTTCTCGTATCCCAGCTCCTTGTCCTCGTATCCCAGCTCCTTGTCCTCGTATCCCAGCTCCTCTCGTATCCCAGCTCCCTCGTATCCCAGCTCCTTGTCCTCGTATCCCAGCTCCTTGTTCTCGTATCCCAGCTCCTTGTCCTCGTATCCCAGCTCCTTGTCCTCGTATCCCAGCTCCTTGTCCTCGTATCCCAGCTCCTTGTCCTCGTATCCCAGGATTTTCATGAAGGGGGTCTTAAATATTGCGCTTGCGGGGGTTGAGCTTAGGCTCTTTGGTCCCGCCTCTCGACTGTCAATCAACTGAGAGTGTAGAATGTGGGAGTGTAGGTGCGTTTAGTGGTGGCGTGCGTGTGCGTGTGTGCGTGCGGGCGTGTATGTGTGTGGGGGGGGCATGTGCGGCAGGGCGTGGCCTTTCTGTGTACCAGTGGTGGCTGTTAGTCTGTGGCCTCCAAACTTGGTACATAGCAAATGGTGTAGAGAAACCGCGCCCTCTATCGCTACTCCGCCTCCTTCAGCCGGCACGCCTACAGGAAGGGTTCTGGAGGTCTGTGTAGGGTTCTGGAGGTCTGTGAAGGGTTCTGAAGGTCTGTGAAGGGGTCTGGAGGTTTGTGAAGGGTTCTGGAGGTCTGTGAAGGGTTCTGAAGGTCTGTGAAGGGTTCTGAAGGTCTGTGAAGGGTTCTGGAGGTCTGTGAAGGGTTCTGAAGGTCTGTGAAGGGTTCTGAAGGTCTGTGAAGGGTTTCTGAAGGTCTGTGAAGGGTTCTGAAGGTCTGTGAAGAGTTCTGAAGGTCTGTGAAGGTTTCTGAAGGTCTGTGAAGGGTTCTGAAGGTCTGTGAAGGTTTCTGAAGGTCTGTGAAGGTTTCTGAAGGTCTGTGAAGGGTTCTGGGTCTGAAGCTCTGTGAAGGGTTCTGAAGGTCTGTGAAGGGGTCTGAAGCTGAAGGTCTGTGAAGGGTTCTGAAGGTCTGTGAAGGGTTCTGAAGGTCTGTGAAGGGTTCTGAAGGTTCTGAAGGTCTGTGAAGGTCTGTGAAGGGTTCTGAAGGTCTGTGAAGGTTTCTGAAGGTCTGTGAAGGTTCTGAAGGTCTGTGAAGGTTTCTGAAGGTCTGTGAAGGTTTCTGAAGGTCTGTGAAGGTTTCTGAAGGTCTGTGAAGGGTTCTGAAGGTCTGTGAAGGTTTCTGAAGGTCTGTGAAGGTCTGTGAAGGTTCTGAAGGTCTGTGAAGGTCTGTGAAGGTTTCTGAAGGTCTGTGAAATAGTTCTGAAGGTCTGTGAAGGGGTCTGAAGGTCTGTGAAGGGTTCTGAAGGTCTGTGAAGGGTTCTGAAGGTCTGTGAAGGGTTCTGAAGGTCTGTGAAGGGTTCTGAAGGTCTGTGAAGGGTTCTGAAGGTCTGTGAAGGTCTGTGAAGGGTTCTGAAGGTCTGTGAAGGGTTCTGAAGGTCTGTGAAGGGTTCTGAAGGTCTGTGAAGGGTTCTGAAGGTCTGTGAAGGGTTCTGGAGGTCTGTGAAGGGTTCTGAAGGTCTGTGAAGGGTTCTGAAGGTCTGTGAAAGGGTCTGAAGGTCTGTGAAAGGGTCTGAAGGTCTGTGAAAGGTTCTGAAGGTCTGTGAAAGGGTCTGAAGGTCTGTGAAAGGGTCTGATGGGTCATTAAAATATTTAATTACCTGTTGATGAGTTTGATAGTTCTCCTGCCACAGCTAAGCCAACATGGGGCCAGCCTTCCGTGGTGATTGCCTAGCTCTTGAGGCCATCTGTTTTCGTAACCCGCAAGACCACTGGCTAACCATCACAGCCAGACTGATCCCGTAACTCCAGCAGAGTTCTTGGAAGGAGCCAGTCAGTGGGGGTATTCTTCTCGTCTCCCCCTAACCCACTTCCCGTGAAGAACTGCACATTCACTGGAGAATATTGCCTCAACAGAGCTAAAAGAAAGTTTCTAGGAAATGTAAAGCCACTCATGTGGGGGATTTTCTATTAGCTGTTTCTAATGCTTGGACAACTGCTTGGTCAGTCTGGCTCTTATTTTTATTTTTTTCTATATATATATATATATATATATATATATATATATATATATATATATATATATACACTTCTGTCCTCCTGGGATAGGGTTAGAGAAATAGGGGAGAGACTAGTGGTGATGGCTAGTCACTTTTTTTTTTTTTGGGGGGGGGGGGGAGTAAAGAGGAAGGAGAGGCATAGGTGAAGGGAAGTATAGAAGTGGGAAATACAGTGAGAGGTATGAAAGCAGGCGGGCTGTCCGCCTTGCTGACACCATGTGTGGGTGTTGGCAGCTAAGCTAAGCTGGCTCCCTCTTGTCAGGGAGCTGTGAGTGAGTGAGAGGTTCTTCACATGTGTTTCACCACATATGGATGTCTATAGATGAATACTGTGTAGTATTTATATATACACACTCCCTGATGCAGAGGCAACGTATCCTAGGGATAGATATGTGGGAGAGGGGGGAGGGGGAGGACGGCAGGAAGGGACAGGAGGATAGGAATATTAGGGGTTAGGTGGGGGGGGGGGGGGTTAGGGGGGTGGCCAGGGGGGTTGAGAACCAACAGGCAGAGCGGCCAACTACCTCTCAAGGTCACACCGCAAACTATCCCACAATTATCCTTCCTCCTATCCTTCATTCCTCCCATCCTTCCCCCTTCGGTCTCTCCCAATTCCTGTTTCTCTTCTACCGTCATTCGTGGCTTTTCCTTCATATTTTCCGTTCTTCACTTATTTTCTCTCCCTCTCCCACTGTCGCACTATCTCTCCCTCCCTTTCAGCCCTCCATTTGGCCCCTTCCATTCCCCTCTCTTTATCTCCTCTATCTCCTCTCTCTCTCTCCCCTCTCCTTATCTCACACCTCGGCCCCTATTCTACATCTGGACGTAGAAATATTGTACACACTTTTAGCTATTTTTTGAGTGCATTTACAACCATATTGAGTGAACAGTGCGTGTGTCCTTACCTATTTGTGCCTATGTGCTCGGGGTTCAGCTCTTGGACCCCGGCTTTCCAGCTCATGGTCGTCTTAAACACTAAATATCTACATTTTTCCTGTCAAATCTGCTTTTGAAACTTTTATGCTATTATTTGTTCATTCCAGCTTCATGTATATCTTTTATTGAATATTTTCTCATCTTTTAGGCCTCTGTAATACTTCATACCACCGCCCACGGGATGGGTATGGGGTGCATAATAAAGAAAGAAATTGAAATTGTTTTTTTGGCCTATGGCTTGCCTTTAGCTGCCAGCCATGTTTTCATTTAAAATTTAAAATTTTGCCCCGAGGGGCGAGTTTATTGGGCAGCGTCACTCATCCTGTGAGTGAACCCACTCGCGTGCAAAGATCCTTTACCGCTAGAATCCACTCTATAAGGCCTATTAATTATTGGGACCGATTAAAAGTTATAAATCTGTTATCTAGAGCGCAGGCGAGAAAGATACGTAATAATCTACACGTGGACAGTATTAAGAGGGGCTGGTCCCAAACCTGCACACAGAAACAACACCACATGAGACCAGAAGACATGGCAGGATGTGCAGAATACCCCCGTTGAAGAGCAGAGGTGCAACAGGTACTCTGAGAGAGAACTATCAACATCAGAGGCCCGAGACTGTTCAACACGCTTCCACTACACATAAGGGGCATAACTGGCCGACCCCTCACAGTGTTCAAGAGAGAACTATCAACATCAGAGGCCCGAGACTGTTCAACACGCTTCCACTACACATAAGGGACATAACTGGCCGACCCCTCATAGTGTTCAAGAGAGAACTATCAACATCAGAGGCCCGAAACTGTTCAACACGCTTCCACTACACATAAGGGACATAACTGGCCGACCTCTCACAGTGTTCAAGAGAGAACTATCAACATCAGAGGCCCGAGACTGTTCAACACGCTTCCACTACACATAAGGGACATAACTGGCCGACCCCTCAGTGTTCAAGAGAGAACTATCAACATCAGAGGCCCGAGACTGTTCAGCACGCTTCCACTACACATAAGGGACATAACTGGCCGACCCCTCACAGTGTTCAAGAGAGAACTATCAACATCAGAGGCCTGAGACTGTTCAACACGCTTCCACTACACATAAGGGACATAACTGGCCGACCCCTCACAGTGTTCAAGAGAGAACTATCAACATCAGAGGCCCGAAACTGTTCACACGCTTCCACTACACATAAGGGACATAACTGGCCGACCCCTCATAGTGTTCAAGAGAGAACTATCAACATCAGAGGCCCGAAACTGTTCAACACGCTTCCACTACACATAAGGGACATAACTGGCCGACCTCTCACAGTGTTCAAGAGAGAACTATCAACATCAGAGGCCCGAGACTGTTCAGCACGCTTCCACTACACATAAGGGACATAACTGGCCGACCCCTCACAGTGTTCAAGAGAGAACTATCAACATCAGAGGCCCGAGACTGTTCAACACGCTTCCACTACACATAAGGGACATAACTGGCCGACCCCTCACAGTGTTCAAGAGAGAACTATCAACATCAGAGGCCCGAGACTGTTCAACACGCTTCCACTCAAGAGAGAACTGGATAAGCACCTCCAAAGGATACCTGATCAACCAGGCTGTGATTCATACGTCAGGCTACGAGCAGCCGCGTCCAACAGCCTGGTTGACCAGACGACCAACCTGGAGGCCTGGTCGGAAACCGGGCCGCGGGGCTGTTGATCCCCGGAAGCTACACAAGGTAGGTAGAAGGCACCTAGATGTTGATTAAGGGGATCAATGGCCTTCGTGGCCGAGGCCTACCCGGTGGTGGCCTGATCAACCAGGCTGTTGGACGCGGCTGCTCGCAGCCTGACGTATGAATCACAGTCTGATTGATCAGGTATCCTTTTGAGGCCGCATCTCCACTATATACCGACCTGGTCTTCCTCGTGACCTCTCTCCTCTTACATTACACTTCCTTGTGTTAAAACCAAGAAACCACTTGATATTAATCTTGCATCTAGTGGTGGTGGTCCCGGCACCAGTAGGATCCAAAACCTGTACCGGCATGAACATTGTGACGTCACGGTGACGTCACACCTCGTCCATATCATATATAAAACCATCTTTTATATCCTGTTTTCCTAAGGTTCGATTAGGAATGGATTAGCCTTGCCTAACCTAACCTAGGCTACATCAAGCTAGGCGAGGTTGAGGTGAGTTAGGTTGGTTTCAAGAACAGCGATGACGTAGACGGTGCATAGTTTTGTCAGGTCATAGACCCCACTCCAATCAAGAGTTCACAGTCCTGATCTCTCTGAGCTCCGCAGCATCCTCGGAGGCTGCTAATGGCTGGTGATGAGTTATCTCCCGCGCTGATGTTCCGAGAGGAGGAGGGGGGGGGGGAGAGATAGTAGGGAGTAGTGAGACAAAAGTGGAGAGATAGTAGGGAGTAGTGAGACAAAAGTGAAGAGATAGTAGGGAGTAGTGAGACAAAAGTGAAGAGATAGTAGGGAGTAGTGAGACAAAAGTGAAGAGATCTTAGCAACACAGAAGGTCAAGTGGGGTGGGCAGAGTGGCACTTGTTGTGTGTGTGTGTGTGGGTGTGTGTGTCTGTGTCTGTGTCTTCCACAACCGGCCCTGGAGTCGTCTTCAGCAACACTTACCAATCGCAGACTACAGGGCAGTGAGGCCCCGTCCTATATACTGCCTTTGTTGTGTCTTTCGCTCTGTAATGTATATATATATATATATGGCGAACTTCGCTCCTGGACCCTGCCTTTCAGCAGCTGGTTTGATTATTAAACTGATTATTGACCCTCCTGCTTACAATTTCGTGTGTGTGTATGTGTGTGTGGGGGGAGGTGTGTGTGTGTCTGTGTGTGTGTGTGTGTGTGTGTGTGTGTGTGTGTGTGTGTGTGTGTGTGTGTGTGTGTGTGTCTGTGTGTGTGTGTCTGTGTGTGTGTGTGTGTGTGTGTGGGTGTGTGTGTGTACTCACCTAATTGTACTCACCTAATTGTGCTTGCGGGGGTTGAGCTCTGGCTCTTTGGTCCCGCCTCTCAACCGTCAATCAACTGGTGTACAGATTCCTGAGCCTATTGGGCTCTATCATATCTACATTTGAAACTGTGAATGGAGTCAGCCTCCACCACATCACTTCCTAATGCATTCCATTTGCTAACTACTCTGACACTGAAAAAGTTCTTTCTAACGTCTCTGTGGCTCATTTGGGTACTCAGCTTCCACCTGTGTCCCCTTGTTCGCGTCCCACCAGTGTTGAAAAGTTCGTCCTTGTTTACCCGGTCGATTCCCCTGAGGATTTTGTAGGTTGTGATCATGTCCCCCCTTACTCTTCTGTCTTCCAGTGTCGTGAGGTGCATTTCCCGCAGCCTTTCCTCATAACTCATGCCTCTTAGTTCTGGGACTAGTCTAGTAGCATACCTTTGGACTTTTTCCAGCTTCGTCTTGTGCTTGACAAGGTACGGCTCCATGCTGGGGCCGCATACTCCAGGATTGGTCTTACATATGTGGTGTACAAGATTCTGAATGATTCCTTACACAGGTTCCTGAACGCCGTTCTGATGTTAGCCAGCCTCGCATATGCCGCAGACGTTATTCTCTTTATGTGGGCTTCAGGAGACAGGTTTGGTGTGATATCAACTCCTAGATCTTTCTCTCTGTCTGTTTCATTAAGTACTTCATCTCCTATTCTGTATCCTGTGCCTGGCCTCCTGTTTCCACTGCCTAGTTTCATTACTTTGCATTTAAGCTTTGTGTGTGTGGGTGTGTGTGTGTGTGTGTGTGTGTGTGTGTGTGTGTGTGTGTGTGTGTGGTGTGTGTGTGTGTGTGTGTGTGTGTGTGTGTGTGAGGTTCCCTCTCTCACCTCCCTCCTCATCACCCTCTCTCCCTTCGCCCTTCCTCATCATTCCACTCATCATTCTCCTCATCATCAGAATCATGTTGTCACCTCCACTAATGAGGTAATCAAGGCAGGTAACTTATTTTCCCGGGTAAATTGTCAGGTGTGTATGGAGGATCCGCCGTGGGATGCTCTCCCATGGGATCCAATCCTCTCCCATGGGATCCAGTCCTCTTCCATGGGATCCAATCCTCTTCCATGGGTGTGGGTGTGTGGGATCCAGTCCTCTCCCATGGGATCCAGTCCGCTTCCATGGGATCCAGTCCGCTTCCATGGGATCCAGTCCTCTTCCATGGGATCCAGTCCTCTTCCATGGGATCCAGTCCGCTTCCATGGGATCCAATCCTCTTCCATGGGATCCAGTCCTCTTCCATGGGATCCAGTCCTCTTCCATGGGATCCAATCCTCTTCCAGGGTGTGGGTGTGTGGGATCCAGTCCTCTCCCATGGGATCCAGTCCGCTTCCATGGGATCCAGTCCGCTTCCATGGGATCCAGTCCTCTTCCATGGGATCCAGTCCTCTTCCATGGGATCCAGTCCGCTTCCATGGGATCCAATCCTCTTCCATGGGATCCAGTCCTCTTCCATGGGATCCAGTCCTCTTCCATGGGATCCAATCCTCTTCCATGGGTGTGGGTTTGTGGGATCCAGTCCTCTCCCATGGGATCCAGTCCGCTTCCATGGGATCCAGTCCTCTCCCATGGGATCCAGTCCGCTTCCATGGGATCCAGTCCGCTTCCATGGGATCCAGTCCTCTTCCATGGGATCCAGTCCTCTTCCATGGGATCCAGTCCGCTTCCATGGGATCCAGTCCTCTTCCATGGGATCCAGTACTCTTCCATGGGATCCAGTCCTCTATTTTGTGTACCCACCTTTTTAAAACGATATTTTCATGATGGGAGTGCTTCTTGAGACGTTCTGGAAGGCCCTCCCTATTCTTCTGCTCATAGGATAGGAGACAGACTAAGTGTGTTCTATCCTCAAGTATTCTTTTTTTCCTCGCCACATATCCAGGACCCCAAGAGTCATCAAGCATTCATGCGTCTAGTTACGAAACCCGTACATCATTCCGCAATAATTTGTATTCACTATACAACTTACGAGCTCCAAAGTGCTTATGAGATTTGTCAACAATAACCTCGGGTCAAGTACGACCTCGTAAGGTCACCAAGCTCGTAAACTATTTAATAAATACAGACTTAAGATTTGTGATCGAGGAAAGATAATTCCCGTTGGTGGGGGACAGGAAGCCTGCACTTAGGCTTGTACCCAGAGATCGAACCCGGGATCCGTGATTGTGAGTCGAGAGCGTGAACCCAGTGTACTACAGGTTCTCCTGTGTGAACATGTACATATTTGATGAATCCTCATCTTGGTTACAAGGGGATTGAAATATAGGGACAGGTGAAGGCCTATCTTGAGATGATTTCGGGGCTTAGTGTCCCCGACTTCGCCTGGTTGATCAGTCCAGCAACCAGGAGGCCTGGTCGACGACCGGGCCGCGGGGACGCTAAGCCCCGGAAGCACCTCAAGGTAAGGTAGGTAATCCCCGCGGCCCGGTCCTCGACCAGGCCTCCACCCCCAGGAAGCAGCCCGTGACAGCTGACTAACTCCCAGGTACCTATTTAATGGTAGGTAACAGGGGCATCAGGGTGAAGGAATCTCTGCCCATTGTCTCTCGCCGGCGCCCGGGATCGAACCCGGGACCACAGGATTACGGATCCAGCGTGCTGTCCGCTCGGCCGACCGGCTCCCTTGGGTACTAGAACACTAAAAGAAGAAACAGATAGTCTGTCTGCTATCCTTAACCAAACGCGAGGTTTTACAAGCCAGACTTAATTACTGTGGCGAGTAGTGGGTGAGCGGACATGAAGCAGAGCAAGATGATTGGTTGAGGTGCCCTTGGAGAAGATGGGAGACGGGGAAGGGGGGTTACTGGGCTATTTTCTCTGAGAACCCAACACACACACCACACACACACACACACACACACACACACACACACACACACACACACACACACACACACACACACACACACACAAATTGGAATTACAAATAAAGCAAATGAGCTTGGAGAACTGGTACTAGAGGAAAACCCAGACATAATAGCCCTCACGGAACCAAGATCACGAAAACGAT